GAACCCCAACTCATCAAAAGGTATGTAATCTCTTCTAACTCTTTTATGTTGAAATGTTCCCCATGCCATGTTAGATAGGTTATAAACCTTGGAAAATTATTATTTTGCATGTATTTAGACAAACATAGATCCAAGGTTTATTAGGGTTGCATGCACACTTAGGAAGTGTTAGATTGCTCAAAACCCAACACAAGCAAGGTAGGGAATGACTGGCACTACCGATCAAGTCTTTCAAGCTAGATTCCCTATTATAGTAAGTTCTTCTCCCACGGGAATGGCTCTAGCATTGAAAGCTCTAGAGCTAATTCGTTAGAGACGTGGCAGATGCAGAAGTAGTCGAAATTGATGCTGTGGAAGTCTTTGGGGCAGGCGTATCTGTAGGGGCCAGTATATAGTAGGCAAGAAGTAGGCACGTGATAGCTCCTATTGATTAAATCAATCGTATGATTGCTTGTGTTCAGGTAAGGCCCAAGTCCTTATGCTTAATCTTCAAGTGATGCCAGGGAGTCAAGCAATTATGTGAAAAGCGGATTCCATATCTTTATTACTAGTTTTGTCTGGTAGTTGAAGTATAGTCATCCGCAACAAGAGAGAGATACAACGCGGTCGAGTGCCCAACTCTTTCATTCTTTGCGGTTGAGTCATCAGTGATCGTAAGAGAAGTAGCCTAGTTTATCGGATATCAGATTCCATGCCATTACCACTTAGTTTTGAAATTGAATGCCAAATAAATAGGATAAGGCCTGGGCCAAGATGCCTTAAGTCATCGGGTGAAGCACTTGCAGACAGGGCACCTCTTTCTCCTTTTCTTTGATGGGAAGTAAGTAAAGATAGATTCCCTTGACTAGGTTTCACCTTAAGCTTTCAAGCTCAACCTAGTTGTTCGGATATAAGACTTTCAGTTAAGAAGCAATCCCTCTACCTCTTCTACTATGTGAACGAAGACTGTGTCAAGTGAAGTTTCAACTAGGAATTCGTTAGCTCGCCTCAGCCAAATCATCGGAACTCTCACAATAAGGTACATAAGTTTCATTGGAAGTAGCTGTAGTTTCTCCAATATAAAATGTCGTTGTAGTTGTATTCGCAGTAGGGGAAAGTTAATCATACCTAATTTAGTCTCTAGGTTCAATAGATGTCATGCCTCTTTATTCCTAGTTAAAGCGGGAAAACAAGGTCTATCACTCCAAGTGAGCTTGCCCTGGCATCTCTGTTAAGGGAATTCAAAACAATTAGAAAAAAAAGTCCGTTTCAGAATGTAGTAAGAAGGTATCTATACCAGGCATCACCACAAAATTCTAATTATAAAGTAGTTCAAACAAGAGAGGAAAACGCCTTAGATATAGGGCACTAGCGCTTCACCCACCACACCACACTTCCTCGATCTCGCCATAAGATTTGTCTTTGATGCCCCCGAATCAATAGGCCCCACTACCGCTCGAGGATAAAAAGAATAACATGAATAGACAGTTGACGTCTTTGCATACTTTACTTAATCTGGTTTGGTTGAGAAGTAAGGTAAGACAGAGCCGCCGTTTGAGCCCTAAACTATAGAGGTCGTTTCAATGGGTGTCCAGCAAATAGAAAAATAACTTTACCAAGAACATACCACCTTTTTCTTTTAGACGATTGAGAAGTGAAGTTGATGTCTCGAAGAAATCCGGGGAAGATGTTTAAGAAGGTTCGGGAGCTACCCCAATAGTAATAGGAGTTGTCGCAGCAAGTCTTTATTTTTCTTCTTTATCTCAAGTCAGTTTGTAGAGGGATGGTACATAGATAAAGGCTTCTTTAACTCTATCTTCTATTTTTCCTATATCTGCAAAAGCTGTTTTAGGATTAGTTACGGGATAGCTATATAAAGAAAACCCGGGTAGCCGCAGCTTGAAAGTCTAATATGAAACTAGCATTTTGACAAGAGAGAAAACCCTAACCTGGTGAGTAAGTGAATAAATCCCCTTCCTTCTTTATCAGAACATGCGAACCCTGACTTTAGAGAAATAACCTATTCGAAGGTAGTTGCAGTTTGCCCGTGAGTAGTTGCCGGAAAGGTGTCACTTTGTTTAAAATAGATCCGGATTTAATAAGTGTTCTTATTATAGCATATTCAAATTCATTATTCTCTGTCTCAGTCTTAAAAACAACCCGGGATAATAGCCCGGAGGTAGCAGCTTTTCGATGACATTGAGATAGATCGGTGGTTGGCTTACTACTTGTTTATGCTTACTCCCACAACAGCTACTCTTTCTATCTCGTACTAAGAGACTTCTCCCACAAAAGATTGATCGAAGGCCCAGGAAAGTGAGTGCCGCGAATTCCGTTGCCAGTCAAGATCAAGAGTTGTCTGCTCCGGGTAGGGCTTGCTCCGGGAAAGGAAAGCTTTGGGTGGAGAGTTCTTCACATTGAGTAGGGGTAGCTTCAGAGACTCATTCATTTTCATTTAGAGACTCAATGGAATCTGTTTATTGTTCTACAATGGGAATGAATTCTCTTCCTTTAGGAATAGAGTAGGCAGTATAAGTAGTTTTCTCTTCTAGTAGATCTCTATAAACAAAAAGGCATGGGCAATAACTCGCATCATATGTTGTAGACCAGTGGGCACCCCTCAACCCTCGGATTTGCCGAATGCAGCCAGAGCTACCTTAGCCTTACTGGCACCTACAAGAAGCCTATCGCATGTTCATGATGTTCATTCGCAAGCAAGTGTATGCGGCTCATTCTGAATAAATAAAAGAAAAAGAATCGACTTAGGGTATGGGTTCTAAATAGGGATTCTCCTTTCGCAGTTTGGTCTTCTTCTGATCCGAGGAGCTCAGGGCTCTAAGCTAAGTACTTGCGCTTCGTACCAATATATATTCTCGTTACAAAAAATGAAATGATGAAGGGGCGGGTTGGCCTTTCCTATATTTGATAATATAAATGGGAAAGCGGCTAGTCCAAGATCCATGATTGGATATACAGTAAAGATCTTTTGGCGGAAATCAAAGACAAGGGTCTGAAATCTGAAAGAGAGGAGAAGGAATTTGAACAAAAGGGCGACTTCCTGATTCATTCCACATTTCACATTCCTCTGGGGTACCCCCTTTGCTACTCATACTCGTAGATTGAAAAAATTATCTCAGTTTCGTAGTTGGGCACTTTCCCACTTCCTTTTTATCTTTGTGCTTCATTACTAGTCCTAAGGCATCTTAAACATGAAAGACGGGGACCAACCCTCTCTCTCTCTCTCTCTCTCTCTCTCTCTGAGACACCTCAGCGGTAGCTCTTCTCAATCAACGACCTAGCCACGTGTAGAGAAGGAATTTCCTTAATCTAATATTATCTAATAGTAGTAGAAAAATAACATCGGTGTCTATTACTATTAGAAGAGTTGCCTCCCCCAAATAGCCTAACCGAACAAAAACTGAAACTCTCAGGAAATAAGCAACTTGAGGCTATTTGTTATGATTGGTAAGTTCCCGACTTCATATATCGATTTATGCCTTGATAGACTCCTTGAGCGCCCTTGGAAAGAAGGAAAAGGTTCATCCTAGACAACTTCGCAACTACAAGACGGTATCCTTTCCTTAGAGTAAAGCACCCCCTTAGATTCATCCAAAATTGATTCCAATTCAACCGCAAATGCTCTTTCCAACTCCCTCAATAAATGCTAGCATGCAGCTCCCAAAGCTACCATGAGGTAAGAGCTCTCACTAAGCTTCCAAACCAGGAGGACTCATGAAGGGGTCCAGGATAGGTAAGAAAGGAGGGGCAGCCTCCCTGAAAAGTAAAGAGCGGGTTGTCCCCTATTAAACATTTCTACTACTTCATTTTCTCCCCCTTTTCAGGGATCTCCTTGTTCTCTTTCAAAATTTTCCTCCATACCTTCTCCGCCTTCTTCATCATGTTGTTCTATCCTTCAGGGATGTTCGGAAGGTGCCCGACTTCCTAAAAAAAATCCTTCTGACAACAATACTACTTGAACATTATAAGACATTGAACCGTCTCGCTCTTGAGAACACTGATCATAAGTGCCAAAAGCCGCCAGAATCCTCATTTTTTGTCCATAAGCTCTTCTTGCTACTGTAATAATTTTCAATTTATTTTTTTACTATACAATGGCGCATATAATTACCCCATGTATCAACAGGGGACCCCCCGAAAGGCAAATAGGAAGCTTCAAGCGATCTAGGAACCCACCTTTGATCAAGATGAAGGTGTAGTTTTCACTAGGAATCCCAGGGTTGCTGATTAGGTGAAGTAGTAGTTTCTGGGCACAAAGGATTCACTCGCGATTATAGGCCCGCCAAAGGGAAAGTGCATAGGTCTTCCTTCAAAAGAGACAAGGTTTTTCATTGCCCAAGCAATAAACATAGTTCACGATGGGCGATGGGGCCCCTACCATTAGTTGTCTATAGGGATCTATATTGAATCAATCTTTAACTTCCTTTAGTCACTTCAGAAGTCATATTCAATACCTAATTCTATTGAGTTAATTCCATCCCCTTTACTTTGTTTACATTCAGTAGATGCTTATTGGTGTCCATTCAGGTCAGGAACTCCTACAATAGGCAGCTACCCTCATCAAACTAAATAACACTACTCTCATCCCTTGCCCGATAGGCAGGAAAGACCTTGAGTCCAAGACGTTGCATCACCCTCACCTCTGATTCGGTCAATAGAAAGACCAGCACAACTGCTACTGGTAAGGTCTTTATCGGAGGGGTGGAGATCACGCAACCTGATCTCTTCAACAACGACTTAGTGGTTATTCATGGCTTCCAAGGTTTCATCTCTCCGCTCCCTCCATTTTCTTGCAACGTGGAGAGGATGACCTTGCTCTCGTTCCCGTTCCATCCACATCATCATTCTGGTTAACATATCCAGACTTCCAGCTCAGTGCAGCCCGCTATCATGATCCTGATACTTAGAGATACCATGCTCTGGCTCCCTAACAATAGCTTCAGCATCCTAGCCCTCGCTATGAAGGTGAGGTACATCGAGCTTGTGACTCTTAACAATACAATATGATGATCTTTGCTGTTAAAGACCTTTCGATCTTCTCTGGTTCTCACTCTTATATCATATCCTTCCGCATTGTGCTAAACCATTTCTTGTCGATCACGGATCTGGAGAAGCTTTCGGTGGGGATTGATCCGCCGACATTGGAACGAGGAAAACCGCTGCTTATCACAACCTATGGTGTCGGTGGAGGTTTGACCTCGATGCTGATGAGGATGAACTATGTGAGGATTAAGGTGTCAGACGTCATCCACAACGTCAAGATCGTTGTGCACAGTGTGTACTTGCCATTTCCACATATTAATCTTCTGGATGCGGCTTACGGCAGTATCTTAGGAGGCTCAAAAGTCTCAGGAGGAGATTAGACGATGGAAGCACAACTCACTAGCATGATGTAGTCACCACTCCTCTCTAATTCTACAACGTTCGGCCTCCTTGTTTCCCTTCTGATCGCAACAACTATAACGGGCTTCCCCCCGGTGGGCAATCCCTGAAAACGTGACCAACCCTGCTACACCCATAGTAATCCGGATCACTAAACATATTCCGACAATGACTCGGAGCAATAATGGTATATGTGGATTCCGCTCCACGAGGTACATTCGTCTAAAGATCTATCAAAGATTTCTCGACATGCTGAACGACATTTGACAACCCTTGCTAACCCAGACAATAACGGAGTACCGACCCGAGATCCAACTTATCATAATTCCCAAGCGATCCAAAACCCTGATATCCACCGAAAATGGCCAAAGATTGTACATCCACAACATCTGAAGGAATCCTGACCACCCCCTCCTGCGATGTCTCAACTGTCCTGATAGCATGATGCAACCCCTCATTCCGATCCCTATGACAATCCAAAACCTTGGAACGAAACTTCATTGCATAGTTTCTGCAACGTTGCACTGGATCCGACCCTGCTGGCCTTTCAAATACTGATCTAAACTCTTGGGTCTCCGCCTGAAACCCTCCAATAAATTCACCTAAAATAAACCTCTTTTATTGAGGTACCCCTAATCTATCTTCCATCCTCGGCTCTGTGATCCATACCATTCAGGGTCTCGCACCCCGACACCCTCACCAGTTCAACTTCCAACGGCTGAACTATAGTAGCTGGAGCAACTTCTGTTCTAAGACAACTATAAACTATCCCCAAGACCTAGTCTCCCAATCCCGAAAGTACAATAGAGCGCATAATCAATCCTTGCCGCCTGATACAAGAGATTTAAGACGAACTCAAAATCTTGGTAGTCCTTCCACTATCTGGCTCTCTACCGGTGTCGGGACCAAACCCTGGTCCTTCCCCTTCTGTGCTCATCCACATTCTGCATAGCAGCTATTCCCACGTTCCAATTATAATCAAGGATTCTCCTTCCCAGGATTCTTAGATTCTCCAAGACTCTCACTGATTCGAGTATGGATCCTGTGATTTCAGTAGTACATGCCCATACTTCCTTCCACACATATCCATACTTTCCTCTGTAAGGGTATTTTGGGATTGTAATGAGTCGAAGTCTTTTGTACTCTTCGTATGGATTATAATATATTTTACTAAAGCATTGTATTCGAAGCTCAATTTTTAGTCCTTAGTAGCTTTTTTGTATGCTTTTCTCTCCTATAAATAGGAGTGTTTACTAGAGTTAGATAGAGGTCTTTTGACAGAATTATCTTTTGTACTCTGTAAAATCATAAGAGCGTAATAGAGCTGAACCAGAAATTATATTTACATCGGTGTTCAAATCTCGCAGTCTTACTTTGATCATTTTTACTCTGATTCATTACATACTTGATTCCTTGTTTCATCAATTGGTATCAGAGCAGGAATCATATCTCTGATCTGATTTTCATCTTTTCAAAAGTTTTTAAATCAACTTTTTGATTTAAGAAATTCCGCACTTTTTGAAAGTGAAAAATTCATTAGATCTAAGTCTGTGATTCGATTCTTCATTTAAATCATTGAATTAAGTGTTCTACTAGTGATTCTGATTTGAATCATATAGTTTTTTTTTTTGTGAAATTCTTAAAGTTTCTTCAAAAATTTTCAAGGTTTTCTTCCATACATCAATGGCATCTTTCAATCTTAATTCCATGACTTCATTTTCACATATTTTAGGTTCATCCACCAACATTCCTATGCTAATTCCTTAGTATTACGATCAATGGGCTGATTGTATGCAGGATTATCTCAATGGTTTGGATGAAGAGTTGTGGAATTGTATTTATGGTGATCGCAATCCACTGTCAAATGTTCAACCAATTGGTTCATCTTCTGGAAATTATGAGGTAGAGAATCAATCTGATCGTCTTAAAAAACTAGAGAAGAGATGCATGAGAGAGCTGAGAGGAGATTTGCCTCCTGTTGTTTACAACTATGTAAGGAGTTGTAAAACTGCAAAAGAGATATGGAACAATATCAAAGAAAATTTTCAAGGGAGTGAGAAGACAAAAGTTAATTCTGTGAAACAATGCTTGGTTGAACTTAAGGACTTCAGACAGAAAGATGGTGAAACAATCGAGGTTTATTACGATCGTCTTAATGAATTAATCTATCGATGTAATCGATATGGAATCACCAGATCAGACATGGAGTTCAATTTAATTTTTGTTATGGGTCTTTGTAAGGAATGGCGTAGTGTGAGCATGATGGTTAAGAACCAACAGAGCTTTGATACGTCAACTTTGAATGACTTGTACAATCAGCTGAATTCACATGAAAGTGAAGTGAATGAAATTGCCGAAGAATCGAAGGCAAGTTTGGGAGGGCCACTAGCTTTGGTTTCAAAGATCTTTGAAAGGGAAGCTGAGAAGGATGTGTCAGATGAAGACAAAGGGTTTATCGTGAACTCAGATGATGAGGCAATTGCTTTCTATTCAAATAATCGTGTGAAAAAGTTCTTTAAAAAGTCATTCAATCTGAAGGCAAAGTCATATGAGATAAAAGGGAATTTTGTGAGTAAAAGTGTTGGGGATGAGAAGAAGAAGGAAGAGAAGAAAGATGTGAAGGTTGTTGAGGGAAAAAGAGAGAAGAAGTTGAAGGGAGATGCTGGGATTAACTGTCATTATTGCAATGGGGCTAATCATTTAGCTAATGATTGCATGCTAAGGAAGAAATATGAGAAAAATAATAAGACAAAGGATGAAGCGTATTATGTGGAAAAGTTGGAGGAGTTGCGTGCAAAGGCAAAGAATCTTTCTTTAGTTGCTCATGGTGAACAAGAAGAAGATGGAACTTATCAAATCTGGTCATTTGGATCAGATGATGAAGAGATGTGAAACCCGACCCATGGAGCAATGTATGCGTAGATGGAGGAAGAATTAGATGAGGAGGCACACGAAGTTCATGGGAGATGCTTCGTATCAAAAGCCGCTGGCAAATCTCCGATGACCACAAAGGTACGTAATATTCTTGAATCTTTCAATATTCCAGTTTATGCTTATAATTCTGAATTAGTATCTTTCGATGAAACTATTACTTATTTTGATTCAATTGTGGTATCTACTAGAAATTAGGCTAAGAAGCTGCCTGTTCAATTGTTTGAGACACAGAAGATACTAGATTTGAAAATTGCTAAGATAGATTATTTAGAACTTCAAATAATGAATATCATGGTAGATAGGGATAACTTGTCTAGTGAATCTAAATTGTTGTTAGCACAGAGGAACATTTACTGTAATTCGGCTAAAAGATGGTATGGGAAATTAACTGAACTACATCATTCATGCAAAATCAGTAAAGAACAATATACTAAATTGCTGCCATTTCTAGCTTATGAAAGAGCTACGGTAGATAATATTTCGTATGATTGTGAGAAAGAAATAGCTGAATTTAACAAAATTCCTGATGATAGATATAGATATGGAATTGTCAAAGTAAATGAAAATCTTGATACTGATGATTTAGTTGAAATTGTAAATGATACTTTGACCAAGTCGGAACAAATTCAAATTTTGAAAAAGATTAAAGCTTCAACATCCGATACTCAATCTAACTTTGCTAATATTGAAGATAATTTTGGCAATATTAGTGAAGTTAGTGATCTTGAGGATGTTGATTGTTCTCAGTTTTCTATTATTAATATTGCATATTCATCTAAAGGGAAAGAAAATCTTAATGATTTGTTTGTTAAGAATGATACGAAACAACCCTCAATTTCGAAAGTTTGTGATTTGGACTTCGTGGAAATCCGAGACAGTCAAACAGATGATAGGGATGATGAAAAAGATGAGGAACTTTCGAAGGAAAAGGTATTGTCCAAAGATGACAACATTCCTTGAATTGTAGTTGATTAGGTGTATAGTGATACACAACAATATGAAAAAGTGATGAAAGAACAAGGTGCTCATTATCTTGAAACAAATACAATGGTGTATCCAATTTTCAAGTGTTCGGATGATGTTGTGTTTCCAAATCAAGTATTTGTAACGACTTGAAATTTGGTAAAAGTCAAACCAGAATTCAAGAAATTGGTGGAACAAGATAATTTGAAAACATCAGACGAAGGGTTTTTCTCAGATCAAAGCACTATTCAAAACAACTTAAAAAAGAATTCCTATGTTTTTCAAAGAAAAAAATCTTAGAGAAAATGGGTGGAAAAATCAAAAATTGAAAAACAAGTCAAGAAACCAACTTTTGAAGAAATAAATAATGGAGTAAAATTAAATTCAAAAGAATTCAAAGAAAAAATTGAAAAATTTTCAAAAGAAAATCAAATTTACAAGAGACAAGCTCGAAATAAAATATTTTAGCAAACAATCAAATCTAGAAAACCATCAAAGACAAATCATGTTTACTCAGAAAGAAATTCAGACACAAAGAAAAATCTTGTTCATTCAAGAAAACATGTGTCTGAATCAAAATTACCAAAGTCTATTTTCAAAATGAAAAATTCATCTTTTTCAAAAAGAGAACAAGTTTATCGTCCAGAAACTAATTCAAAAATTGAAGAAAGATCGACATCAAAGTTTTCTCAAAGACAACATTTTAAATAAACAATTGATACTTCCTATGCTGAATCATATGTATCAAAACCAAAAATTGATTTTGTTCCTCAAAAGCCAAATTTTCCTATTCTTACGAAGAAACAAACAATGAAAGTTTCGTACGAAAAAAGGCACAACTTCACAAAAGAATATTGATCACTAGCTCGAAGGGAAAGGCAAAATATATCATTCAAGCAAATATTCGAAAGACCAAATCAACGAAACATATGAGAAGTATGTCAATACTTCTTTAAATGATAGTTCGTCATCAAAAGATTCAAATATCTTGGTAAAATCATGGAAACCTGTCATAAAAGCAAAGACCGAATAATCACAAACTCATAATGCGAAGGGTGTTGTAAGTATACATACGAAACATACA